AGGGGAAATGTATAGACGAGCCAGGCGAAGAAGAGCTATGTTAAGAGGAATATCCAAATTTGGTTTTTGGGTCGAAGTGGTTGGGTGAGTGTTGGTCGAGTTAGGTGCAAACAAGGCTTATTTGACCCATTGGGTTTCGCCCTGACGGTGTAAAGGATGACGACTACGATAGTTGTGTCAAGAAAGAAAACAACATTAGAGAAATATGAGCACTTCACCCCTTTATTACACCTTTAAAAATAAAAAGGGTAAATAAAATATATTAGCCACAACTATTATGAAGCGGGGACTTATAGCCACAATTATGGAAATTCAAATTATTAGCGAAACGTTAACTATCTGTTAACAATTTCGTTAATAATGTTGACTAAACTTTTATGTTTTAAAGTTATAAATTAAAAGCAGTCTGGCGTGGCTGCTGCCGTGGCCGACAATGTGGCCTTCTCTTCAAAAATTCAATAATAGTAACGGACAGTTAGCCATATTTTCACCCGCAACAATAGTTATGACTAATAATTTGAATTTACATAGTTGTGGCTATAATTCCCCGCTTCATAATAGTTGTGGCTAATATATTGTATTTACCCAAATAAAAAACTTATAACAACCGGACTACAACTTCTAATGATCCTAACTTTAAATAAAAAATCAAAAGAATTTTGTTGCGATTCTATGGACAACCCATTTATAATTGGACGATGCGGATTGAAAAGGAAGAGGTCCAATTAGACAAATTCGCACTTACATCAATTCATATTTCTCGTTTGATTTCGGCCGAACAGAACAAAATTATATAATTCACTCAGAGCTAGCAGGGAGAAATTTATAAGTGAATTCAAATGATAAATTCATGCCTAGACATTTGATGCGATAAATTGAAGTCCATTAGCTACAAATAAATACACAACATGATTTGCACATGGGATAAATGCTACATTTGGTCACTGAAATTACTAAATCATGTCATGTTTAGTTACTAGAAAAAATTAATATCAATTTTGGTCACTCGAATTACTGAAACATGTCACATTTAATAACTCTCTCGTTAGCCTCCGTCTAACTCCGTTAACGGAGTTGGATGGTAACTAACGAGAGAGTGAATAAATGTGACATGTTTCAGTAATTCGAGTGACGTTCATATAAAAAAAGTAATTCGAGTGACCGAAGTTGGAAGAAAAAATAACCCAACAATCCCCACCAACTTTCTCAACAATCTCGCCAAAAACTTGAGTGATAGTTTGTGTCAAATCAAGCAACCAATGGATTTATTGTTTGTGCAGAAAATTAAAAAAAAATAATGCATTGTAACTATCCCCATCAAACAATCACCAAAACCAAACGACACTTAAAAGAAACAAGTCTATGCATGGAGAACCACTTGTAGTTCGACGGTATATAACCACTTGTAGTTCGACGGTATATAACATGATGATGCTACAAATTAATGATTAGATGTGCAAGTTCCAATAATTTGTTGTGAAAGGTGTAGAGCATTTTTGTAAAATTCAATGGTGAGTACAATTTGGTTTAGTCTAAGATGAATCGATTTGGAAGAGACTGATATATATAAATAACGGAAAAGTGTGGATTAAGGTGGAACCAGACACATTTTCTCGGATTTGGTCCAATTAATTTTTCTCCTCTATGTGATTTAGTTGAATTTTAAATCTTTAGCCACCTCTCCGAGTAGGAGTCTTTTCCTAAATACTTTCTAAACAATTCAATTTCGTCACTATTTGTCCTTTCAAGGATTCCTTACATATAACATTTTTTAGGCAGTAATTTCTGAAGTTTCCGCAAAGGAAACACGACACCTTTTATTTACTCTGCTCCCTTACATTTAAACCATACAAAGGAGCCTTGATAACAACTACACTGGTTTGCTTTGTCAAGTCGAAATTGAGTGGGCACTTGTACTAGTAGGGGTTGTTTGGATGAGTTGTTGTGTAACGAGTTAATATAAAAGTGAAATTCTCACAAAATGAGAATGTGGTATTTGTGAGTTATTTCACAATAACTACCCCCTATCAAATTAACTCAAGTACAAATCACTCATCACCAACTTTTGTAAACAAACGGGTTATTTGCACCCAAATAACTCATACGAATAACTCATCCAAACAAACCCGTAGTAATACTACAATTAATGCAATTGTTTACAATTTTGTGTATTAAATTGTCCCATGAACATTCATTATTCTCGAAAGTCCTCAAATTCTAGCCTATGTCATGATGCAGTAATTAATTTGACACATTGAAATAGTCTTACTCAATGAATATTTGTTGCTTTTGACTTCAGTTGTTCATGAGATTTGGTGCGGTAGAACGATATCTAGCGGAGCGATTTGTAGAGATAAAAATTACACACTAGCAATTAATTAAGGGCACAATCACACTTTTGATAAAAAGGACATAATCAACTAATAACACATTACTAGATAACCAACAAAAGTTTATGTTATTCCTAATTATTAATCAAATAATGAAAAACTTAAAAACTAAAACAAAGACTGCTAAATTATTGTTCATGCAGGATCTTAATTCAACCCTTTAACTATACGTGTGAAAAAAATGAGCTCCATCGCACCATGCCTCACGTGAACTTCCGTTCGGTACAGACTCCCCTTGGAGTCGAGCCTGTTGCCTTCAGCCACCATCACGTCGAGCTTATAGTTCATGCCGTCCACCACCTGGACAAGGCCCCTCCTAATGCTTACAAGTCTCAACGGATCTTTGAAATTGTTTTCCCAGTTGTGCATTCCTACCGCAAACTTGGCAATCTCCTGGATGCGATAGGTGTGTACGTTCTCTATCGGCTGCCACCCACCGTAGGGATTAGCACTAACGGTGAAGAGAACGACTGCGATGGTAGTCAGAGCCACGAGAAATGTAACAGGCTTCATCTTTCGTACGCAAGTGATTCTTCGTGTGATTATGTTTAGGAAGATGTTTGATTGGTGTGTGTTTTGGATGAGAAGCGAGACTAATTGTGGTGGGTATTTATAGGCTATCTTTCTTTTTTCTTTCATTTGTTTGTTTTTTGGTCTTATGCTAAAGTTGTCCATTTTTAGTTATGTATCCCGTTATTATAGATGGTGGGTATATATTTTTGCAATTTTTATGCTTAAGTTTGGCCGTAGACTCTCCTCTTTTACCGATTATTTGTTATCTTCCCAATAAAACATGTCATAGAGTTGTTGACTATTCTTATTTTCTTACCGTCAAACGTAAAAATATGTTAATGTGAAGGGAAATGTATAGAAGCGCTAGGTTAAGAAGAATATCCAAATTTGGTTTTTGGGTCGAAGGGTTGGGTGAGTGTTGGTCGAGTTAGGTGCAAACAAGGTTTATTCGACCCACTGGGTTTCGCCTCGACGGTGTAAAGGATGACGACTACGATAGTTGTGTCAAGAAAGAAAACAACATTAGAGAAATATTAGCACTTCACCCCTTTATTACACCCTTAAAAAATAAAAAACCTGTAACAACCGGACTACAAAATCTAATGATCCTAACTTTAAATGAAAAATCAAAAGAGTTTTGTATGTGATTCTATGGGCAACCCAATTATAATTGGATGAGGTACTATCCTATATACTATGCCCATAGAAAAGGAAGAGGTCCAATTAGACACATTCGCATAGGATCGAGTCATCAAAGACATTTGATAGGCACACTTACATCAATTCATATTTCTCGTTTGATTTCGGCCGAACAGAACAAAATTATATAATTCACTCAGAGCTAGCATCCCGATGAGAGAAATTTATAAGTGAATTCAAATGATAAATTCGTGCCTAGACATTTGATGCGATAAATTGAAGTCCACTAGCTACAAATAAATACACAACATGATTTGCACATGTGTTGGTGGAAACTAAATAAAATCTTCATTAGGTTGTACTGGTAAACAAGTTTAAGAAAACCTAATCAAATCAATTGTCTATAGTGTAACAATTCTGTTTGGTATCTTATTTACATGTTTGCTTTTTTCTATGAAAAGTACATTTTACTAAAGCAAGTAATGGAATCTCTTGGATCAAGACACTACCCTTGCCATCTTTAGCTACAGCATAAGTCATCTTTAGCCACCAATTCCACTAGAGTCAGGTCTTTCACGCTCTCCAGTCTCCATCGCATCTAGAACGGCCTTTCCGTATTAGACAACTCACTAAAGAGGACAGAAACGTATTTCTCCAATGATATTAATTGTAAAAAAATTTAATTTTAGGTACTAAAATGTAAAATATAAAATTATAGGTACTAAATCGTAATTTGTTGATGATCTATGAATCCAATTCATGGATCCGCCAATCCATCAATTGGATTTGGATCAAATGGATTGGATTTAAATAAATTGGATTAGTTGGATATTTTTAATGAATTAATGGATTGGATTGAGAATTGCCACATCTAATCGCAATCCAATTAATCTAATTTTTCAGTTTGACTTTTATAGAGGTAAAAAACGAGCTTCAGGTTGAGAGGTGAGAAATGCTGAGACAATGCTGAGACAATTCATTAAGGAGGGGAAATGCCGTTGGTTACTCTACGAAGTAAAATATATATTGATTGAATACTTATACTTGTTGTCGATCCATAAGATCGAGATTTTTAGGTTCAAGATTAGAGGTAGTATCAATAAACCAAGTTCTTATTCGTATTAGAATCGTCTTATTGCAGATCATTGAGTATTTGTTGTTACATTATTAATATACTATGATGGTCAGATAGGGTTTTGATATTTTATTTATTTATTTTGACCTTAGTTGTTCATGGGATTTGGTGCAATGCAGTAGAAAAATATCGAGCGGAAGAATTTTTATAGGAATTGAAATTAGATATTAGCAATTAAGGCAAGAAATCACGTTATGATAAAAATGACATAATCAGCTAATCACATAACTAGCTAGGCCAACAAAAACTTATGTTACTTATTCCTAGCTATATATATTGATCAAACTAACAAAGGAAAATATTTAAAAATTAAAACAAAGACTGGCTAAATTTATTGTTCATGAAGGATCTTAATTTAATCCTTCATATATAGGTGTGAAATATTTGAGCCCTATTGTGCCAAGTCTCTTGTGAACTTCCGTTCGGTACATACTCCCCTTGGAGTCGAGTCTATTGTCTCTAGCCGTCATTACGTCGAGCTTGTAGTTCATGCCGCCCAGCACCCGGGCTTGGCCGCTCCGAATGCTTACGAGTCTCAATGGATATATGAAATTGGTCTTCAAGTTGTGCATATCTACTGCAAACTCGGCAATCACCTGGACGCGATAGTTGTGTATGCACTTTATCGGCTGCCACCTGCTGGCGTGATTAGCACTAACGGTGGAGAGAACGACTGCGACGGTAGTCAAAGCATCGAGAAACGTAACGGGCTTCATATTTCGTATGTAAGTGATTCTTGGTGTGATAAAAACGGCGCTGACTAGGCGCTCACGTTAGCCACGTCAGCACATAACGGACTTTGTTAACGGAGTTGGACGGCAACTAACGGCGAGTGACTAAATGTGTCCTGTTTTAGTAATTATAGTGACCAAATTTGATATTAACTTTTTCAAGTGACTAAACATGTCCCGATTTAATAATCTCAGTGACCAAATGTGTCTTTAACCCTAGGAAGATGTTTGCTTAATATTTTTTTTTTTATTTTGACCCTAATTAATTGTTCATGGAATTTGGTGCAATGCAATAGAACAATATACAGTGGAAGAATTTGTGGAAATTAAAATTAGATACTAGCACTTAAGGCAACAATTCACATTATGAAAAAAAAAGACATAATTAGCTAATACCATAACTAGCAAGACCAACAAAAAGCTTGTGATATTCCTAATTATTAAGCAAGCTAACATATGAAAAACTTAGAAATTAAAAAGAAAAAATAAGAGACAGCTACATTATTGTTCATGATGGATTCTATTTCAATCCATCAAATATAGGTGTGAAGAATTTCAGCTCCTTTACGCCAAGTCTCTCGTGAACTTCCGTCCGATACATAACTATCGGGGAGTTGAGGCTGTCGATTGCAGTCGCCGTCACGATGAGCAGGTAGTTCAAGCCGTCCACCACCTGCACTTCGGCGCTCCCAATGCTTACGAGTCTCAACGGATGTTTGAAATGATTTTTCACGTTGTACGTTCCCACGGCAAACTCGGCTACCTCCCATACGCGATAGTCGTTCGTGTTCTTTATCCGCTGCCATCCGCCGAGCGATGATGCACTGGCGGTGGAGAGAACGATTGCGACGGTAGTTATAGCCACGAGAATTAATGTAGTGGCAGGCTTCATTTTTCTCGTTCGTAAGCGATTCCTTTTCGAAAATGTTGGCTTGGTGTGTTTTGGATGTGAATCGAGACTAATTGTGGTGTGTATTTATAGGCTATGGTGAGTTAATCGATTTTCTTTCGCTTGTTTGTATTTTGGTCTAATGGTAAAGTTGTCCGTTTTTAGGTACGTATCCCGTTATTATAGATAGTGGGTATAACATTTTAAAACTTTTTTGTAAGTTTATGTTTAGCTTAGACTATTGACTCTCCTTTTATACCGGTTGGTTGTTATCTTCCCAATTTTACAACATTACATGCCACAAAGTTGTTGACTATTCTCAATTTTTTTTTTTTTACTGTCTAGGTAAACAAAAAATGTTAATAATGGGAAAACAGTTGTTGTTATGCGATTAAATTAAAACCGCACCGAATAAGCTAAGCATGATTTGTGATTAATCCGTAATCATTTAAATGTGGTCTTATTCAGCCACGGTTAATAGGATATGTCGTTTTGCGATTTGAGGACGTACTAAACGCAAAGCGCACCGAAAATAAAAACTCGATTTAAACATATAGCTTTATGGTTCTTAATTATTGATTTGCTAACCAACAAACTTAAAAAAAAATTAATAATGTTCATGCAAGCGCGGTTACAATTAATCCCACGGTATGAACGATACTAGTTTCTTTACATTAGAAAGGCTCTCATAAACAATGGCCTGGTACATATCTCCCCCGGCGGCAACACTCTCGTTGGCCGGCGTTGCCGTCACTAAAAGCTTGTAGTTTGTGCCCTCCACGATCTGCGTTTCGCCGCCGTCCACGCTCACGAGCTTCAATGGCTCGATTCTGGGGCCGAGGCCGGAATCGTACGTAATCACCGCAAACTCGGCAATCTCCCTAACGTGTTTGTCCTTCAGGTTCTTTATCGGCTGCCACCCGCCGGTGACGGCCTCGGCGGCCTGGAGGACTATAGCGACGGAAGCAATAGCGACGAGAATGGTAATTGGCCTCATGGTGGTCGTCGTCTTAAGTGATCTTGTTCCCACCAGCTGTTGTTGATGCTTTTCTTTTTGGGTGTGAAGATAGACTGATTGTGGTATGTGTGTTTATATAGACATGGTAGAGAGAAATTATATGGTGGTTAATTAATTTGTTGCCATTTTGTTTTTGGGGACTTGAGGCAAGTTTCTATGTGGATTTTAGGTAGGAAAAATCCTGAACATTGATGGATTTTAGAGAGAAATGATAATGGTGGTTAATTAATTTATTACCATTTTGTTCTTTGGGACTGAAGGCAAGTTTCTATGCGGATATTAGGTAGGGAAATCCTTGACAATGATTGCTTGAATATTGTATGGTAATTTAATTATTTTTTTTCGGCTTTGCACATAAATTTGTATATGGTTCGGGGAAAATTCTTAGCTTCAACATAGGTTGGACGCATAAGCTCCAACCATCCACTTGTCAGTTGTTATTGGTGGACTCACCTTCCTTTTTTCTTAATATTTAATGTTCTTAATTATCCTAAATAAATTGAGAATTAAAATATAAAATAGAAAGATGAACTCAGCAATAAGAAACTGACATGTGGCTGGTTGGAACTTCTGCGTTCAGCGCTGGAGTTATGAATTTTCCATGGTTCGGGTCTTGTTATTGTGTACTAGATTTATGTATGTCATTATGCGGATTTTTTTTTTGGTTCTAAGGTTCGAATCTAAGATGTGCTAGATATACTCATTCCCACTTTACCACTAGACTAATCTCTTAGGGTTCAGTACTATGTCAGTCAAACTGTATTATAGACAGTCCGACCGAAAATTAAAAGTCATAATATAATATTTTGCAGCTTCATACCTGATAAAATTGCTTATCAATTTAGACTCCAATAATCGCTTTTTCCCCGATCAGACCACCGCTACGGTTTGGCAAGCATTAAAAATCAAAGTTGTTAAACAGGTTTCCCGGTTCTAGATTATTGATTCATTTAGTAACCGACCGACCAAAAAAAAAGAGATACAACTCGCTCATGCATGTATACATGATCGTCAGTTAATCCTCCGGCGACAACCCTACAAAGTGCTTTACACCAAAATAGTCCTCGAGAACCAATGCGCTGTATCGACCTTCCCGGCCGGCGGCCTCCGCCGTCAAGTAAAGCAGGTACTTTGTGCCTTGCCCCTGCTCCACTTGCGTATCGGCTCCATCCAGGCTTACAAGTTTCAACGGCGCCGTTTTGGCCCTCGAATTATAACTCTCGACGGCGAACTCAGCAATCTCCTTAACGTGCTTGTCCCTCAAATTACGTATCGGCGACCAGGGAAACGGCGGGATAGGGAGAGCCTCGGCGGCCAGTAGAGCTATAGCGACGGCAACAGTAGCGACGAGAAAGGTATTTGGCCTCATGGTCGTTTTCTTAATTCTTTTCTTTCCCCTGTTCTGTTGATGCTTCCTTTTATGGTGTGAAGAGAGACTTGGTTGCGGTATGTATGTGTTTATATAAGACTCAGTACGTAACTGATAATGGTGGCTAATTAATTTGGTTTTGTTTGGTTTTCTTGACTTATGGCAAGTGTATCTGGATTTTATTGCTAGGGTAGCCCTTATTAATGGTGGTTCAGTAAAATTTATACACAGATCTCTTCCAACAATTTGAATTGTTGACACTTGTTAGTAATTATTGGTTCTTAACATGGTATTAGAGCTGGTTTACGTCTGAAATCACATGTTTAAGTCCTTATAACTTCCAATTGTAATTATTGTCTTTTGCAAACTTCATGCTCATGAGTTCACTTTCGTTTTATCATTTTATCACTTCCAATTGTAATTATTGTCTTTTGCAAGTAGTCGGTACAATAAGTGTTGTTACAATTCTGGTATGCCATAAATGGTTAAGGTTCTACTTGCATGTACATTGGCGATGCCACATGGATGGTTGTAGTAATTGGGAGAAGAAAAAGAAAGGAAATAGTAAAAGAATATTAGTAACAGCAAGATATTTTATACTTTGTGACCTCCCGTTTATGTCAACACGTGAAATGTGTTGGAAGAAGTGTCGAAAATGTTGCATATGCAATATACAACATTTTTAGATGTATTTTTTTTATAAATGATCGTGATAAGTCGTAATATTGACTTACCAACATGATAATAAGTTGGAAGAGATACATAACGGTGTTAGTTTGAATTAGGACAGGTCCCATGCTCCACCTTGGAATTGAAACTTCCTTTGAGGAAAAGAAAATGTAGCTATTTGGTTTACTACGATTCAAAATCATAGAAAATTGACTTATTATATATGCTCCAGCCTCCGATTCGATTTTACAATTATTACTCAATGTTCAAACGACACAAGTTGCACTTCGCCGGAGGGCAGCTCGTGGAGGATCGCCGTCCAGTTTTGAATCCCCGACGGGTGCAGGGACGACTCGTCGCCGACCGTGACCACACGAAGCCGGTAGTTCGTCGAGCCGTCGGAGAGTTTCTGGTACTCGCCGCCGTCCACGCGGTAAAGGTCAAGTGGATCGTTGAGATACTCATCGTTGTGAACCGACACCGCGAACTCAGCCATATCCTTCACGTGCTTCGCTTTTGGATCCTGTAGCGGTAGCCATTCACCGCCGGCGAGTGCTGCTGCTTTGGCGACGGCGGATATGATGGCGACGACAGCAATCGCGACGAGCAGAAAGGGAGCTGGCCTCTTCGTCATCATTGTATTAATTTATCAGAAATTTTAATTTGGGGTTTTTTTGGTGGTGGTTAAACTTATGTTTGGTCAACTATGAAAATAAGGAAAGGTAGTGAATGATGATTATTAGTTGAGCCTTGAGCGTTACTTATTGTACTACGAACTTATCAGTTGTAGACTTGTAGTACATTTTTTTTTTGGTTATAAATTTAAGTTGTATTATATAAGTACATCTTATGGATTGTAGTATAGTACCAAGAGATTTTACAGTCGAACTATAAAATATTAGCGATGTCACTCGCAATTTTTCTACTAAACATAATTGAAAATACAGTGATTCTTTCTTTTTCATAATGGTGGCATAATTTTAAGGCAATACTAAATAATTTTATTATTTAGAAACTTAAAACAACAAACGTGTACAGATATTAGTTTGAAAATATCGTAAGGCTTTGGCTCACTTCTTGGTAAAAAAGTTTCAAATTCCTTAACACGAACTTTCATTTTATTTCTAGCTCTTTCAAATTTCTGATTTTGTCGTTGTTAGAAAAATATCATACTCTCGTTATGTTCTTGTCTGAACTCCTACATATTATTAGTCAATCCGCTTTGTATTAGACTCTTATATTTGATCAATTTTGAACATACTATATTATGTTCATCTCATTTTAAGAACGATATTACATCGGTATATTCGTAGTTGAATTAAACAAATTAAATCTCATTTTTATCTAAATTGTATAGTTAAAAACCATGTTACAATATTACAATTAATTGCATCAAACGCCGGCTTCCTTCATTAATTCAGTACGGGCAAAAAGGCAAGAAGCTGTTTCATCTTCTCGCCGGACTTGTCGTCAGCGACGCCGACGACCACCTCGTAAATCTGGACCTTACCGGGCCCCACGCCGCCGTTGGTGTCAGTTTTCAGGTGGAAACGGTAGACGGACTTCCCGTCGTCAAAGACCTTCACGTCGCCGTTCTCCACGCTCTGCAGCTTCAGCTGCTCTTTGCTACCAGCTGGCAGCTTGTCGTTGAACTGCTTCACGGCAGCTTCAGCCACCGCGGCCACGTCGGCGGCTTTCAAGTCCTTGATCGGCTTCCATTCGCTGGGGACCGGCGGTGGTTGCGGAAGGTTTAGCGACGAGGCGGATAGGAAAACCGTCGCGAAAAGAATGGTTAGGAGAATAGCAAGTGCCCTCATTTTTTTCTTCTTCTATGTGGTGAGATTACTGCTTCTGCATGATTGATGGAATTTCATCTAATCACTATATAATAATAAGGGTTCGAGTTGAAACTCTCCTTGCAAAATATTTAAACGTAAAATTTCAACAAGACGAACAATCGGATAGCATATTTCGTGGTTACAAAAAGTCTAAGAATGTCATTTCTTTGTTTCCTATGAATTTATTGCTTATATGTTGAGATTTGACAATGCGAGCAATCTTATGACAAAAATAAATGCAAATATTCGTAGTTTTTCATGCTTTTAATTTATTGATAACGTTTTCTTTGGTAATTACGAGTACGACTTCCGTCGTTATAAATACGTCCTTCGACGCTTCTAATTTCGATTCACGCAACAATTTCACAAAGAGATCGAAGCAAACAAACAGGATTAGCTAAAAGGGCCATACAAATTCAACGAAAATAATTAAACCATGGCTTTAGGGACGAGGAGGTCATTACATTTAGCGACGACTCTACTACTCTTGGTCATCGCCATATCCTTCTTCTTGTCCATGGAAGTAGCTTTGTCACTTGTCTCGTACGGAGGTTGGATCCCCGCAGATATGAGTGACCACGAACTACAAACCAGCGATTTCAAAGAATATGCGGTGTTTGCTGTGGCGGAGGAGAACAAGAAGACGAGGTCGAAATCCGAGCAGTTGAAGCTCGTGAGTCTAGACAAGGGCTTTTTCGGAAATGCTCATTCGACGGACTATATGTACTACAGAGTAGATATAACTGCCAGCTCGGCTCGCTTCGGCCTGGTCAAATACTCGGCGGTCATCTCGAACGTACTCAGTGGTTTACTGGCACTCGAGGACTTCGAGCGAAGGTAGATGAATCGAGACGAGGAGTAATCGATGATTGAGCGAGAGAGGACAACTCTTTATCGTGTGAAAGTTGTTACGTTAACGTGTATGAGCGTTACAACGAAAAATATGATAGTGGTTGTAATAATTGAGGATTGCATCATTTAATTTCTCTGGATATGTATTCAAGTCCTTAATTTTTTTTTTTACCTCAAGTCCTTAATTTTATTTCGTTCTATAGTTGTGGCATTCTATATTACCTTTCAAAATTAGCAAATAAATTATATGCAAATTTCAAGGTTTATGCGAATTTCAAACTCAATATCTAGCGAAAAGATTTGTAGAATTTAAAACAGAGACACAATCAATTAAGAAGCACACTCATATTTATGATAAAAAAGGACATAATGTCACTAGATAACCAACAAAAACTTATGTTATCCCTAATTATTAATCAAACTAACTTATGAAAAACATACTAATTAAAACAAAGACGGCTAAAATTATTGTTCATCATGAAGGATTTTAATTTAATCCCTCGTATATAGGTGTGAAATACTTGAGCTCCAATGAGCCAAGCCTCTCGTAAACTTCTGTTCGGTACATACTCCCTTTGTTGCCTCCAGCCACCGTCACGTCGAGCTTGTAGTTCACGCCGTCCACCACCTGGATAAAGCCCCTCTGAATGCTTGCGAGTCTCAACCGATGTTTGAAACCGTTATCCAAGTTGTACATTCCTACTGCAAACCTGGCAATCTCCTGGACGCGATGGCTGTGGATGTTCTTTATCGGCTGCCACCCACCATAGGGATCAGCCCTGACGACGGAGAGAACGACTGCGACGGTAGTCAGAGCCAGGAGAAATGTAACGGGCTTCATCTTTCGCGTTCGGTAAGTGATTCTTCGTGTGACTTTGTTGAGAAAGATGTTTGCTTGGTGTGTTTTGGATGTGAAGCGAGACTGATTGTGGTGTGTATTTATAGGATGTGGTGAACTGATTGATCTCTTTCACTTGTTTTTGTTTTTTGGTCCCGTGGTAAAGTTGTCCATTTTTAGTACGTAGCCCGCTATTATAGATGGTGTGTATATCTTTTTGCATTTTTTATGCGTACCTTAGCCTATTGACTCTCCTTTTTTACCGGTTATTTGTAATCTTTTTTATTATAACATTACATGCCATAAAGTTATTGACTATTCTTATTTTTACCGTCTAGGTAAAAAAAAATGTTCATAATGGGAATGTGAAACGTATCTAGCTAGGCGAGTTAGGGGAATGAGAGTATCTTCCTCTGAGTCTGAAGAGCAGAAAATAAACGCAAACATTGGTAGTTTTAAAGCTTTTTATTTATTGATTACGTTCTCTTAATTCCTCGTTTTTTTAATTAACGTACGTGGCGGTGGACATGTGCTGATTAGTAAGCGTATGACTTTTGCGTCAATATAAATACATTCTGCCACGCTTGTAATTTTAATTCACACAACCATTTCAGGAATAGATCAAAGCCTAACAAACACGATTAGCTAAAAGGACCATACAAATTCAACGAAACGAAAACCATGGCTTTAGTGACGAGGAGGTCATCACAATTAGCGACGACTCTAATACTCTTGGTCGTCGCCATTTCCTTCTTCTTGTCCATGGAAGTATCTTCTTTGAAATTTCAGCCGTATGGAGGTTGGAAACCCGCAGGTCTAAATGCCAGCGAGCTGCAAAATAGCGATTACAAAGAGATGGCGGTGTTTGCTGTGGCGGAGGAGAACAAGAAGACGAGCTCGAAAGCCGAGCAGTTGAAGCTGGTGAGCTTGGACAAGGGCTTTTGGGCTGATTTGCATTCAGAGGAGGAGTACTTCAGAGTGGATATAACTGCCAGCTCCGCTCGCCACGGCAAGGCAAAATACTCGGCCGTCGTCGTAAACGGACTCAGTGGTATATTAGTACTCGACGAGTTCGAGCGATCTTCGTGATGGTAGATGCATGGTGGCGCGCGAATGATCGCGCGTGACAGAGTGAACAACTTTTTATTATGTGAAAGTTATTACGCGTTAACTCATATGAGTAACAACAGACAATTACACGATAATGATAATAATAATTATTAGGATTGGATCCTTTCTTCGGATATGAATTCAAATTCTTGATATTATTTCATTAGTTAACTGTGACATTCAATATTATCTTTTGGAACTCTTTGGAAAAGAAGAAGAAAGAAGAAACGATGTCGAAGTTTATGCGAATTTCAAATTCAATTATCAATGTTCTAAGCCAAACTCGAACCGATCACTTAAGGAAAAAAACGTATCTAGCCTACTAGCCGCCCGTAATATTGAAATTTAATATTAACATATAAAATTTAGATGGTCCTTATCCAAACCGTCGAGAGATAAGCTTCATTAATTTTTTTTTTTCATACATTAATACATAGAAAATAAGTCAAGTAGTACTTCATCCACTCTTCTACACAACATTAAAGCATTTCCTATCCCAAAAGAAACCAATAATGACGGCCAAAAAAATTGGTCGCCTTTGCCCTCTTACCCTTTGTTTTCGCCGTTGAAGCTACGGTCCTCGGCGGATGATGATGACAACCATTATTGAAAAACATGAAAGAGCACAAAGTTTTGGATAGTATCTCTTAAGTTTGAAATATAGGTATAGCATTATATGGAAATTTGTAATAAATTTAAAAACTAAAGTAATTAGTAAGATTTTACCTTCTCTTCCTCGTTTATTATAATTCAAATCAGTTCCGCCTCATGAAAATTTCTAGCTCATTTCCCCTCGCCACCACCTACCTCTAGTAGCGCCTTGTAATTACAAATCTAGCGGAAAGATTTGTAGAAATTAAAACGGAGACACTAACAATTAAGAAGCACACTCGTATTTATGATAAAAGGGACATAATCAGCTAACAACATCACTAAATAACCAACAAAAGCTTATGTTATTCCTAAGTATTAATCAAACTAACGTATGAAAAACATACTAACTAAAACAAAGACGACTAAATTATTGTTCATGAAGGATTTTAATTTAATTCCTTATATATAGGTGTGAAAAACATGAGCTCCAATGCGCCAAGCCTCTCGTGAACTTCCGTTCGGTACATACTCCCTCCATTGCCTCCAGCCACAGTCACGTCAAGCCTGTAGTTCACTCCATCCACAACCTGGAATAGGCCCCTCCGAATGCTTGTGAGTCTCAACGGGTGCTTGAAATTGTTTTCCATGTTGTGCATTCCTACCGCAAACCTGGCAATCTCCTGGACGCGATGGCTGTGTATGTTCTTTATCGGCTGCCACCCACCATAGGGATTAGCACTGACGGCGGAGAGAACGACTGCGACGGTAGTTAGAGCCACGAGAAATGTAACGGGCTTCATCTTTCGTACGTAAGTGATTCTTCGTGTGACTTTGTTCAAGAAGGTGTTTGCTTGGTGTGTTTTGGATGTGAAACGAGACTAATTATGGTGTGTATTTATAGGATGTGGCAAACTGATTTATTTCTTTCACTTGTTTTTTTTTTTTTTTGGGTCCTATGGGAAAGTTGTCCATTTTTAGTAAGTAGCCCATTTTTATTGATGGTGTGTATATCTTTTTGCATTTTTTATGCGTAACATAAGCTATTGACTCTCCTCTTTTACCGGTTATTTGTGATCTTCCCGATTATAACACTACATGCCATAAAGTTCTTGACTATTCTTATCCGAAGTTCAAACTCAATTTATCAAATTTCTTGTCCAAACTCGAACCAATCACAAAAAAATGCATCTAACCTACTAACATCCCTTAATTGTTTTTGTCTAACCTGTTTCATATAAGTGAGATTTACGATTATTGAATTAAATAATAACGTATAATTAAAATTTTATTAAAAAAATGACATATAAAAGCTAGTTGGTAGTCATCTTATCTATACCGTGGAGAGATAAGCTTCATCTTTTCTATTATAAATTCCTCCCTTAATACATAGAAACTAATGACGGCCGGAAAGTTGGTCGCCTTTGCCCTGTTGCCATTCCTTTTTGACCTTGAAGCTGTGGTCCTCGGAGGACCATGATGGCAACCGTAATTGGAGAACCTGAACACGTTGGTTATACTCTTATAAAAATGTTACCTAAAATCTCTTTTTTCCTTTTTAGTAACGTGGAGATTGGAGGACATATCTATTTAAATACCTTCTGCCACGCTTCTAAGTTACCCACAACCATTTCACAGAGATATTCTCACGCTCGCACGCTTGGATTTAGTGACGAGGATGTCATCACATTTAGCGACGACTCTACTCTCCGTCGTCGCCGTCGCGGCGGCCTTCTTCTTCTCGTCCATGGAAGTTGCGCCGTCGTCGACTTCCCGGCAGCTGTACCTCGTCCCCAAGGATAATAATATTCATGACGTAAAAGAACAAATCATTCATTACTTAAACATTCTGCAATGACATTTTACAATTAATATGTAAGATAATCATACATTAGGTAAGCATTACGTAGCAATATCGATTGTATTTTACGCAATGCGTCACGGTGGCAGCCTGGCAGGCTGCGACTGTGTTCAGAGGAAACCCAACAACTGTGGTGGACGTCGGAGACGAACCCCGTCCGGTGGCCGGCAACCCGCTAAAACAGAGGAGAACAGGGGAACCTCTGTTTCCGGAAAAGGCCGAAACGGAGGAATTAGCTTCGGCGAGTAGGTAAATCGGCTACCCACTATTCATCATCGGATCAGATGATTAGAATTGGTCGGGGGGAGGTTTTTTTCTTCCAATCTCTCTCACTCCGACGGGTAATAAGGGAAAGAGCAGATACTCCGGGAAATTTATGGCTGGACAAGGAGGCCAAGGTCAGGGAACTCCGGCAGCCGTCTGGGAGGAAGAAGGAAATCCCTCAACCGGCGACGAACTCCACCACCAGCCACCGCCAACTGCTGCAGGAGGGAGAGGAGTACGCCAGAGGGTAAACGGCGCCAGAACGGGCGACAGAGCTGCTGAAACAATCGCGGAAAACGGAAAATACGGGCGCCCGAAACGCCGAAACGCGAAACGTTTCGTGACCTGAAAACCAAAATCGAAACGCGATAAATTGACGAGAAAGTGAAATTGACGAGATACGACATATCGCGAGATATCGTGATATTTTGGAGATATATTGACTTTTGTACGATATGTTGACCCGGTGGCGACCCTGACCATCTCTGCCGCAACTAGAGGGCGGGGAGTGGCCGGCAAAAGCAGAAAAAGCAAGCGGAAATCACTGCTTCTGGCTGAGCAAGGGCAAATGAAGAGGAATCGCAAAGGGTAGAGTCGATTATAGAGAGAAAGGTAACTGATTTTGCCGGCATGAATCTCTGTTACGAACGCCTCTGTTTTCTCTTCCGACGACGGCGGCGATGGAGCCCAACGCATATACGGGCCATTAGTGTGGACTTGGGCCGGGCCCAGCTCTTGTCGCAATTTTGATCCAATACAGTTTACTTCTTTCTCCGGCTCTTAAATCCCGCCGGCAAAATTGCCGCCCTCACTTTCCCTCCCGTTCGGCGAAAAACCCTCTGCCGCCACCGCGCAAAATGCGGAACCTTCTTCCTTCCGCCGCCGCCGCCTCCATCCACCGGGACCTCATCCCCACCACTCAATTCATACTTCTCCTTTTTTCGCCGGGGCTACAAGGCGCCGAGGAAGCCGGCTCCTCCGGCGCCGCCGAAACCCCCGAATGCAGAAGCCCCAGGCCTTCACCTTCCACGACGCCACCTGAGGATGACCCGTACAGCTGGATGTCGAAGCTGAGCGACGCCGTGGCGCGGCGGCACATGGACGTGCTGATGGAGCAAGAGGAGAAGTACGCGGAGGCCGTCATGTACGGCGCCGAGAAGCTTCAGAGCAAGCTCCAGACTGAAATGGGCCAAAGACAAAACGAATAATCGCAATCCCATTAACTAAAAAGATTAAGACACGATTCCACCTGTCAAATACCACCAACAAACGACCTAACATACATGAATCCATTTCATAGTTCTTTTCTAATAACCTCCTCAAAGGATCAAATCGAAAGACCTCTCCTACTACATAGAGAGAGCAACAAACACAGCATTACTAAAAAGACACATAAATTCAACACAACCAGACCTCGTCGCTAATTCCCCTTTGTTATAGTGACCTTGTAAAGTTGGTCGCCATCCTCTCTACCAACCAGCTCAAAGCAACAAACGTCTCCAGCTTCAAGGGAGTTCTCCTTGGCACTGCTTCCCATTGTCCTTTCGTTCTGCTAGCAGTCACCATCCACTTCCTATTCCCAACTTGAAGCTGAACAATCTGGGTTTTCTCCAAGTACTTGTCTGCAAAGCTTTTTGGCACCCTCTGCAAACCCAACTTATACAATCCATCAAGCTAAAAAAAACAACAACGCCAGAGGTCAAAAACTTTCCAAAGGTTAAAACTTTTTGTTGTTACCATGTTGCATTTGGTCAAATGAGGCTCGGTGACAACAACTTCGAAGAAAGGGTACACAGAGGTGAACTCGCTGCTGCTGCTGCTGCTGCTAACTACAGGGTACTCGATCTCCATGCCATTTGTGCCGTTGAAGATCGCGACAGAGAACCGAGATCCGCCCTCGTACTGGAAAACCAGAAAGTGCCCGTGTTTGAGGGAGTGATGCCGTGCAAATTCCTGCCATGTCTCGTTGACCAAGTACACGTTCTTGGTCCCGCCATTGTCAGAATTTGGGGTCCTTGCTTTGACCATCTGGATCTGCCACGTCATCCCACCCGGGACCTCGATGGAGACAGGGCTGGACAAAGGTCCCCCATGTTCCCTCACAAACTTTGAAGGCAGCATCTGCAGAGGATGAACACAAGGAATCAGACCTGTTTCATTGTATAGAAAGAAAGTTGCAGAGATGATGCTTACCAGCTTCTTGTCTCGGAGAGTGTCAGCAACAATCACCTTGAAGAAGTGAGGCTTTCTTGGATCAAACCCATCTCCAAATTCCTTCCTCTGGCTCATTCTCTGGCTCTTCAAGCTCTCTAAGAAAGGAGAAAGATGTTGAGTGCTGGGGAGTGAAATGGAGGCAGGGGAGGCTAAAGTAAACACAAGAAACAGGCAGGGGAGAATAAATGCTACTAGTTCAGCATTTATTAAGGGTGCAAGAACAAAAAGTTGGACGGCATTGATCAATGGATTCATGTGACTTCCGAATATCCAGTAAACAAAGAACTCAGAAACACACGTTTCCCCAAAACTCAACTGAAATAGTTAAAGGGGACCGATAACCGTTACGTCCTTGAACGATTTCGGTTTGATTTCAACGAAAAAGTGGATGAGTTTTTGGTTTCTTATCGATTTTACTATTTACATCAAAGCGAACTGACACCGCTAATTTTAAATATTGAGGTTGGACATAATTTGGTTTAGTTTGATATTGAATCGAGAGTTTGAAATATATTGATGGATGGAAAACCAAAAATCAAAATTGAGAATCAAAATCGTATAAAATACATGTTTATCTCGATTTGGTTCAAAATCGTATAAAGATTCAAATAGCACGATATAAATTCATTTGATCGGGTGTGAATCGAGTCGTTAACTATCCCTACAAACTCAACTGAATAGTAACAGAAGTAGAAGAAAGAAAATTAAGTAGAGTAGACAGTGATTTGCCAAGGGACTTATTCCACTGTCAGAAATTAGGTAAGCATCCCATTGAAATGAAAGGGAACTTATTGTTTAGGGTACTGGTACCCAAAATAAACTAAATACGTATTTTTACTATCAATTCTAAAACCAAAAGGAAAATAAATACTCTGTTATGTGACCTCCAAATAGAATTTCAATGTTTTGGTTGTGCTATTATATCACGTGAAGTTTTTTTTCTTTCATGAAGGTTCCAAAACATCCAAGTCCTTATAATAGCAAGACTGGCTTCACCTTAGTAAGAAAAAAATTGGTGTTTGAAAAACTATATCGTACTAGTGGTCTAGTGGTTCGGTCGAAAAAACATTTTATCGAAATTTAAATGGGTAGGTGACTTTTAATCGTACGAAACAGTTGAACCATGCCTTTTCAATCAGTGATGACAAATCCTACCCCGAGGAGGAGGACTATGTTCCCCAGCCAGGAATGCCATTTGTTATGCTTCTAGTCATCCATAACCTTTCTTCTGTGAAGCATAACATTTCAATTTTTAAATTCTTTCATAACCTTTCTTCCTTCTGGGGTCCGAACGATGAATGAACACAAAAATGGCTCCCAAGGACTAATGTCCACCAAATTTCTCGGCAACAACAAAACCAAAAACAGCCAGCAAAGGAAAACACCTTCCCTGAACAAAACCTAGACCAGACAAGTTGGCAAAGACAATGACGACGTCGTCGACGTGTACATGTCCCTTTGGCCCAACGGCCATGCATGTGTCACAGAATACTTTGGAATACCAATCGGCCATTCTCGAGCAGCTGAGAAGGGAATGGAGCTTGACATTGTTTGACGTGCGACTTTAGCCTGGGAATGTTAGGGTGTGCACTCCTACATCGATGACAACGCAGCTCCATCGACAAATGCTTCTCATTATCATTGCTTACCGTTGCTTTACCTTGACTGCTGATTTCTTCCATCACATCAACCGAATCTCGAAAGAAGGCAGTATTGAAAGAGTTCCAATGCTTCTTGTTCTTCAGATGGCCCGAGTCGAAGTCTTGGCTAATGACGTGCAAGTGTAGTTGTCGCATTGAGGGTTCCTGCAAAAACAGAGGATTCGGAGTGGGGATTACAAAAGGATCAGCAGAAGCAATTGAAAAAGAGGCATAAAAAGAAGCTTCAGCCTGACATACTGAGTGATAGCCCAGCCGGAAGACCAAGGATGAATCTTCTTGCAGGAAGCTTTCTGCCCATTTCAACCCCACGGAATGCATCGTCCTCAATTGCTCAATGTGTTCTTGATTCACATCAGCAAGTTGGTCAAGACCTCGCTGGCAGCTCAACACTAACAGATGCTTTTTTGCCTGTGAAACAACAGGGTGATACAGGATTCCGCCAAATGCTAACATAATGAGTGGGGGGGATAAAGGAATATGGTAACATTAGATCTAAAACACACTTGCACCTTTGGATATTGATCATTCAGCACGACCACATCGTCACACACCTCCAGCAATTGACCTTCATGCCTCCCAGGATGCATGGCAATATCGTATAGAGCTTGTGCCCACGAACCCCAAGTTTTTGAAACAACATTCCTTCTGTTCTCTTCGCTCATCTTTTCATCACCCTGCATACCCTTGTACTTTTTTCTCCTTTCAGAGTCGCACTCGTCATCTCTTTTATTCTTTTGCTCAGTGATAGACGACAGGCTTTTAAGGCCTGCAGGATTCTGACCACTTGTTCCCACTTCAGTGACCTGGGTCTTCACTAGAGATGCAAAACTTTCGAAAAGTGATGTATAAGCTCCACGAAGAACTTCACATCCTTTAGCGTAATTATCATTGAGACAGTTGGGTCTTTGAGGATTCATGTTCGGGCCCAGTACATGTATAACATGGGTCACTCCTTCCCTGGTATATAACGGTGAGTCTGAAGTGAGAGGAACAGCTACAGCATGTCCAGGGAGCAGAGATTTTGCACAATCCCTTGTGGAAACCTCAAGAGCTGGACCAGCGGCATTGAAGATTGCAGCATTCACACCTCCACCTCCAGGTTTAAGCCGCCTGTAATGCAATTATAAAATTTCTTCAGAATAATGTTAAATGGGGACCAACCAACAACCACTTTGCAGGTCATTCCTCTAGGAACATGTGATCCAAAAGTGATGGATATCAGTTATGCCACAGGTCAAAATAACCAGATAAGTTCTAAGGAATTTTAGCTCCATACATGCAGAAATTAACTGAATCATAATCAAATCACTTACCAGTTGGCGGCATTAGCTATGATATTGCACCTTAAACCACCTTGAGAATAGAGTTTAGTTATATCTCCAACAAAAGTGAAGAACTTATTTGAATCTATGTTTCTTTGAGCAGCTTTGCCCTTAACCAATGACAATATCTTTGACCTGTGGCTTAAGTCCACAAGAACAAGTCTTGCATTCCTGATCTTATTCACAAACTCTTCAACCTTTTCAACAATAATATCAGAAGCCTTCTCATTCTCAAACTGAAAATCTGACGTTGAAATGGATGGAAATGCAAGTGTGGGTACACTGCTCACAGAAGCATCAACAACGTGCTTATGTGGGTCCTGACATTCTTGGATATTTTTGTTAGCACCTCCAGACAACAAAGAACTGCTTTCTTGTCCCGCGGGGCGTTGATTTTTTTCCACGTCAACAGTTTCATGCACAGGAATCTGAACTATATGTGATGATGGTGAATCTTCATTGGCAGGAACCTCAACTTTCTTTAAGAACTTCATAATTCCAAGTTGGACTTTGGCTTTCGGGGTTTTCTGCCCAAAACAACCATTTGGGAGGGTTTCTGCAGGACCAAGTGCACTGTACACCTTAATTGCAGCTTGAACTTCACTATCATTCTGGCAAAACGTTATTCTTTTGAAGCCTTCAGTAAGCTGAGGCAGTTCCTTCTTCTGTAGCATTCTATTTACAACTGCAGCAGCTTTCCCACCTTGAAGATTCCCTTCATGCCCAGTGCGTTTCACAGACCGGGATATACAAACCTGAGCAGGAAAATCAAGCACAACAGCATGCACTTCTTTTGTGGAACCATCAAGCTTCAGAAACTCAGCACGCTGTTCTTTGTCCAAATTACATCTGTCAATGAACACACTTTTTCCCTCCTTCAATGCAGTGGCTGCACTCTTTAGGCACTGAGGCTTCGTCCCAGCTTTGCCATTGTTAATAGTGTCCTATCAGAAAGAAAATTAATGTTTGATATGCCTAGTTTTTAACCGAAATACCGCTGCAGTCAGTAGACAACAGCTCCTAACCTCTACAAATGAAGCACAAAAATAAGATAGTCCCAGATTCATGGGAGCACAATTGAAGAACTTCCATAAAAGCTATGAATTCATGCTATCAAACACAAGGAGACCAAGGAGAGGTGGCTAGTGGTCGTGGATTGGGAGGGAAAATTATGGGAACGGAGCTAAGGCATGGAGGCTCAGTGAAACATTTCGTTGAACACTTAGTGTTAAAACAATGAAAACAGAGAGAGAGAGAGAGACCAACCTGGCAAATACGAGCCCAGGACCGGGAAGACGATTTCATAACATGCTCGCAGAAAGTGGACTTCCCACTTCCCGGAGCACCGACGAGCAAGACGATGATGGGGCCTTTTTCCTTCTCATCGCCAACTGAAACCACAAACAGCCGAATGAACCGGAGTACAAAGGGAAGATTGAAAATGATATCAGAAAAGGGAATGGAAACCCTAAAAGCAGGAATACCTTGAGGAGTGGTACCGTCTTCATTGTCCGCGCCCATTTGCTGTGCTTGAGCCAGGGTTCCTATGAGTACGTGGGAATTGTTCGCAAAAGGCTCCGGTCACTACTCACAGTTCAGCTTCCACATGTACTGTGCAGCATTTTAATTTGGCGAAGCTCTCCAGAATCCAGACTTTGGCTCCCACAAGCCAGAGAAAGGGTCGAAGTGGAGAAGAAGATCGATTAGAGATCCAACCTGGCAGGCTAATAACGGACCAATAAGCATCCGACTTCACATATTTCAGCTGGTATTTTGTTGGCATTACCGCATAAGTACCACATCAGCAAAAGATGAAGAAAGAATCACCAACTTTAACTTTGCCATAAATTGCTTGAACAAATCTGAAATGTGGATAACGGAAGAAGAAAGTATGGTTTGCTAAGATTTCAATGGGACCAACAACATTCAAAGCTTCAATCAATCCTATAGACCTCAATACCACGAAACTTTACAAATTTCACCACCTCCGCGAGCAAAACCATCACAGGTGCTGCAAGTTTCTCACCAAAATTAAATCATTGAATGATTAATTATATCTAAATGAGGATACATAGAGTGATTCGTATAATAGACATACAAATCAAGCATCAAATGAGGATACATAGAGTGAAGATTCCATTACACTTTCGAAGGAATCTAAGTAGTATGCTAGTCCAAAGGATCAATTACTTTCCATTACACATTGCTAAATTTCAAGAAGATGATGATGCTAATGCTGACGAAGAAGGAAGAAAGAAAGGAAAAAAGTATGTACCCTGTTAGAGTGAGGAAGCACTCAGCTCCATTGATTTCCAGAAAGCGGAACTCACCAAAGTAAAGATTGCTCAAATCGTCGTTTGTCAAGTGTCGAAGAACTGGAGCAGCAAGAGGGCCCTGCAGATCATGTTCTTAGTAATGTAAGGGAGGATGCATGTAAGGCGGCTTCAGAAGATGAAATTCAGCTCTCATGTTACCTACTACAGAGAACAAAATAGTTTGTAGTTTATATTGATGAAAGGAAATCAAATAGTTTATATCAATCAAAACCAACATGTCGCCATTGTAAGGGATGATGCATGTCGCTTTATCCATTGAATTTGAACCCCCCAACTTATGACGGGTCAGCGTTGAGATGCAGAAACCAGAAACGGAAAGATTATCTTCAAAGGACTGGGCGAAATCCACCAAAAACGATTCCCCCCACAGATTTTTCCAGACTTACTCTGCTCGTCGCCGCCGCCGCCGCCGCCACTGCCGAGTAACTCTCTGTTCGTCGGGTTCCCTCTACTCAATCTGATCTGTGTGCAGAAAGGAAGTCAAAGGTTGCAGAAGAATCCTTCGTCCCTCGCGCGATTTTATTTCTGGGCTGAAGAATTGAAGAATAGGAAAAGAGGAACAAGGAAGGCGAGACTCGAGAGTCGAGAGGCGAAGGAAGGGCAGAATGGGGCCGAGTAAACCCAAAAAATGGGTTGTTCGGAAATAACTGGCCCTAGTAATTGTGAATAACTCGATTTTAGGGCTCGTTTGGAAGTTGTGATTGTTAGAGTTGTGATTGTTGAATACATGTATTGTGCACAATACAATGTTTGGAAGTGTCAAAGTGTAAAACAATGCATGCATTGTTTTAGGTAGGTCCCACCAACAATCACAAAAAATGATGCATTATACAATCTCAACTAAAAGTTGAGATTGTTGTGATTGTTGGTTTTAGATTTGTGTCAACTTTTTCTTTCCATTTATATCCTTAATAGTTTTTGTCTTATTCTAAAAGTTAAGGGTAAATGTGACATTTCCCCATAAAGTAACTTTATGTAAATCAATGCATAAAATAGAATCTCAACAACCAAACAATGTATTGTTAAAATACATCTATTGTATCAATACATGCATTTATATCAATCCTAAATAACTCATTAGTCCATTTTGAAGCCAAACAAATTATTTGGGTTAGATTAACTTAATGGAATAACCATCCAAGCGACCGCTAGATGAATACTACTTGAAAATCCAATCAAGTTCCTGTGATTCTCACAGTACACGAAACCGTGGTGACAAAATAGAAAGGTTGATTAGACGATGAGAGAAAGCTCTTCGATTTTGGTAGGGATTGGAAGATTGAATGTTTGGGAAAGCCTCGGTGAGCTTTGGGCAACAAAACATAAAGACATGCTCCTGAATAAGAGCTTCGATTCCAGCATGGATTGGAATAATGAAATGGACTGGGATGGCTACAGGGGATATCGGAGAAAAAACCCAAAGGCGGCGGGATGAATGTCTTCGATTACGGTAGGAATTGGAAGACTGAATATTTTCAGATAGTGACTGATAAGGATTCGACTTCTGGTGAAAGTGTGGAAGCCAGGATGCGATAAAGAAAGACTCTATTTTGAGTTTTGACATTGGCAAAAGTTGTATTTTGACATTGCTTTATAGTATTTCGAGATGGTGCAAATTGAGAGCGTAAATTGCAGGAGGGTGCAAATTGGTGGAGAGTGTAAGTGAACGGGTAAATTGTTGTTTGGATAAAAAAAGTAGGGGATGCAAATAGACCCAAAAGTAAGTAAATTATATTATTATAAAATAAATATATCAAATTTATAAAACATTATCACAAAATAATAAAATAGAAATTATTATATAATAATATATATTTTAATAAAAATAATCATAAAATAATAATACTTAAATAATAATTAATTATAACAAATGTAATAATCACTGGTCGAGGGGCCTCGAAACTCAACTCGTAACTAGTCATCTTACAGATTTCTCGTGCTTAATTTAACCACAACATGTCAACCGATACGGTTCTCGTGTCCACTTTAACTTTAAATTTGAATAGGTCAAACTTACGTAAACATGTTCGAAGATGTAAGTTTTAACTATTTAATCATGTAAATTGAGTTAACTAAACCGGTGTATATCAAATCACGTTAGAATATGTGAGTTAACCATATATTCTCTTTAATTTCGGCACAATTTCGAGTAAACAAAGAGATATTGATTTGACTACACAAACTTTGACAAACTTACACACCGGCATGAACACTGGACAACAACTACATTAATAATAGACTTAATTCACTTGCATAGCCATAACTTTCATGATTTTGACAAAATATAGCCACTTTTTGAAAAATACACGGTGCAAACTTCAAGCTCAAGAAGCTAATTTTCACTTGAGGGTTATGCGCAATTACAATATCTATAATTAAACCTCTATCAACAACTCTACAAACCAATAACTCAAATCAAAACCATACGAGGATTTAAATATATTCTAATCATGGAAAATCTGTAAATCAATGGTAAATTTCACTAATCATACTTTGGAGTTAACCCAAAAGCAGGTAGAATAGAAGCAACATCATCACTTTGGAATTTGGACAAACAAATCCCACCTTTCGAGTTTCCACTAATCATACTTGTCCCCCACAATACTCCATTTTTTACCTTCCTTTTCCCTAATCTCTCCCTCCACATTTTTCTCCTACCCAATCCCCACAAAATCAAATCCCTAGAATTTCGTTTCGCCACTCTCCATACACAGACTCGTAACAAATGGCCGAACCTGAGCTTCACCGCTCCACCTCCACTCTCCCGCCGCCGGCGGCGGCCGTCCTCCTTCGCCCAAGCCGCATCCCCCACGACGTCGTCATCGACATCTTCCGCCAGCTCCCGGCCAAGTCCCTCCTCCGCTTCCGCTCCCTCTCCAAGCCCCTCTGCGACCTAATCGACAGCTCCGATTTCATCCGGCTCCACTTATCCGACTCCCTCCGCGCCAAATCCCACCACTCCCTGATCCTCCGAGACTGGCACCTCTACACCGTCGACTTCGACTCCCTCGACGCCGCCGTCGGTCTCGAGCACCCGCTCTCCGTCGGCGGCGGGACCGAGGCGCTCGGCTCCGTGAACGGCCTGGTCGCGCTCCGGAACTCGGAGCGGGATCTCGCGATCTACAACATCGCGACGCGGAAGGTCCGGAAGCTGCCCGTGAGTGAGGTGGAGCCGCCCGGCGGGCAGCACCTGAGGACCGGGTACGTGTTCTACGGGTTCGGGTACGATTCGGTGAACGATGATTATAAGCTGGTGAGGATGGCGACGTTCGTCGGGGATGAGAATGCGTGCGATACTTACAATTACGATTACGAGGTGAAGGTTTATAGCTTTAGGAGCAACTCGTGGAAGAAGATTATGGATGTCCCGTTTTATATCCGGTTCTTGCATAAGCCCCTGCATCAGGTTTTGCATAGGAGAGGGTATGGTGTTCTTGTTGGTTCAGCTCTGCATTGGGTGCTGCCTCAGAGGGCGATGCTGGGTTTGAAGAATTATATTGTGTCGTTCGATTTCGTTGCTGAGAAGTTCGACGAAGTGACTCAGCCGGAGTATGAGAATAAGGATCTGAGCTACCAAGTTGATGTGGGGGTTCTGGAAGGGAATCTGTGTGTGATGTGTAACTACGAGCATGTATGCGTCGATCTCTGGGTGATGAAGGAGTACGGAGTGAAGGAGTCTTGGTCTCGGATGTTCTCGGTGCAGAAGATTAGGAATACTACTACATTTGGGTTTTTGAGGCCTTTGATTATTGCTAAGGATGGTAATGAACTGCTATTGGAAGTGAACGACGAGAAGCTTGTATGGTATGATTGGAAGACTGGGAAAGCTAGAAGTGTGAGGATCCGTGATGGGCCGAAATCTTTTGGTGCTGTAATGTATGTGGAGAGTCTTATTCCAGTTGATGATCCTGATGAAGTCGAGCGGCAGCGACGGTTAAGGGAGGATGCCGAGAGGGAGAAGTTGAGATCCGAAAATAACTATGGGTAAGTCTAAACTTGTTCTGATATATACTAATCTTGTGAACATTGATGATCTTGGGGGAAAAATACTTGTCCTCTTGCATGTATATCCAGAACTGATAGCTTGTCCAATGTCTCCTTGAAATTCTGGTGATGGATCAGAAAAGAAGAAATGTTCTTGCATTTTGTTGCAAGTCTTTCTTTACACATTGTGTATGTACTTGAAACTTTAGCTGTTGTGGCAATAGAATTTATTATCTTGTGGACTTGCTTTTCAAGTCAATGGAAAATTTTCACTTACAACAGCCTGCAAGTCAACTGGAGGTCAATATCTATATTAGCCTGCTGATCTCTGGCTTAAAGCCTATGATCTGTTTATATAGTCTTTGATCTGGGTCAATGAACGGTCTTCTTCAATAAATTTCATCAATTATGCGGGTCCACATCACATTTCTGGCTGGTTGTGATGTGGAAAAAACATGTACTGAACAGTATTTCTGAAATGCTAGGGTTCAAGCTCATTTTATGTTTCAGACTGTAAATTTGGTGTCCACATGCTTCAGTCCTCCTTTTATCAATTGACATTGACCTGCAAGTTGCAAGTCATTGTTATGCTTTTCCACAAATTCTATTAGCATATTGTGATGATTTTTCTTTTTTCATTTTGCTGTCTTTCGTGGCTTAGCCTTCTAATTACTTGTACTGATCGGTTCTTCCTCGCAGGGATGACTTCTTATCAGTTGGATTTAAACTAAAGTTGTGACCAGCAGAGAAGACCCGGATGACCAAGAGATTGTCCGCTGGTGCGTATCCTTCTGCTGTCTGATTTAGTATTTCTTCCCCAGGGACTTCATAGACCGCAGTTTATTTTAACGTATTCGGTTGAGGTCTGAAGTCAGTTTTGTTGGACCTATCTGATAAATGCTAATCGTTGGCATGGAAACTGCAGCGAGCTATCCGCGGAGAAACATGGCATCACAAAGTCCATGTGACGCCATGACAAGGGAAGCCGAGGCATGTGGAGGAAAACCTACATCTTCCCTCAGCCCTCAGCAAGTTAAGGATGTGGTCTCTGGTTGGGAAGGTTTCAGCCTTGGGCAAAGCATCATTTGCCTGAAATGTACTAGGATTCCTGAGAGATATCTTTGTCATGTTTCTTAGGAAGAAGAAAGAGCTTGTAGAAAGGAAAGGGATCATCTGTAGACTACCTTGCACCGATCAAACAACCAAAACAAAAGCTAAAGAATAAGAAAGCAGAAAGTGAAAGCGACCCAGAAAACAAATAAAGGAAAGCAACAGAAAACAAAAGAGGTTGCTTACTGTACATGCATTGCAGGTTCATACCCGACGGCGATGAGAAAGGTGCAGCTGTATTACCTTTTACTCCATTTGTACCTGACTGAAGCTTGATAAGAGGGGAAGTAGAGAAGAGTTGTATGCAGGTTGCTGCTTGGTTACTGCATGTGCTTCTTCTGCTTACTTTCTCTGATGTAAGTGATGGCTGTGTATATTATGTATTATTGCTGAAGTCTCTATTGTGTGTTGTATCCTTTGCTGCAACTTACCTTGACATCAGTGTACTGCTGTGAGTTTGACACATAAATAGTCTGTTTGTATCTTCTTGCTTGGTTATGCTGCTGTAATCTGGATCGGATTGCCTTGTATCAAGTGCTCACAGATGTATAAATTTACTACTGAGTGGTTTACATGGCCAGTCTTTATATCAGCCACTGCTGTAGAAAGTAGATCATTTGGTAGTGACAATACCGGGGAGAGTATCTCAATATTCATACAGTATTTTGCTTTGTAGTCGAACCCAAAAAATGTCAGCTTCGTAGGTCTGTTGTCTTACGATGCAGAGTTGTGGCAAATGGTCTCGTTTTGTCGTGTGAATCTGCATTCTTACACATTGCCTGAAATATGATCGCGTTTTTCTATTACTGTTCCTTAAAATTGTGGGCCAAAGTTAGGGATAGCGGTTCGGTTAATTGAACTGAAATCGAATGATTCAATCCAAAATTGAAGTCGATAATGGTTTATTGATTTCGATCAGAATAAACCGTAAACAAAAAATGAACCCTTGAAATCATTAAGAAATAAGGATTGTGGGTTTTTGGTTTAAGGGAAATCGAAAAATGCTTATCGATTTCTACTCATTATGAAAAATTTATAAGGCTTAAAATCGATTCGGTTTTGGTTAAAACCCATCGAATCACCACCCTAGGGTAGAGTAGCTAACCTTCATTGAATTGCATTTGGACTGTAATATGATATCTTTGTATAATATTGACTTAATTACATTGTTTATATTAGAATGGGGAAGAAGATATAGATCACATATATCACACTATATAATATATGTGATGTGTAATTGGGATAAAGTCCACAAAAAACGTTCCAGTACCACAGTCCACAGATGGGTCTCATCCTACCGTCGATCTCGTCCACAACAAGATCTTAACGGTCAGTATACTCGACATCGCCCCGATCACGTGACCGTCCTGGCTAAAATAGCGTGAGCTCCACCGCACCTAATAACTGCAACAGTAAAAAAATGAAAATATCATTTTGTAAAAATTAAAAAGAGAGAAAATATTTAATAGCGTAGGATTTACAGTCCCTGGCTGGAGATTAAGGCTCGGAAAGACAGAGAGAGAGAGGGAAAGAAAAGAAAAAGGAGAAAGAGAGAGGGAGAGACCACCGCCGCCGCGGCAACGCTTATTTCCCCCGATCACTCCCCCGCTCTTTAGCTTCCGATCGGCGGCTTTCTTCTCTGAATTGATTCTGTTTTCCACCGGCGTTGTTTCTGTTTCGGATTTCGATGAGTGATGAGGTGAATGATTTGGGTAGGGTTTTGTTGATTCGTGTGGAACGGGAATTCTAATAACTGTGTGGAGGCGTTTTTTCGCATGCTGTTTCCCCCAGCGTGCTAGCCGGCGGGGATTGCGCGGTCGGATGTCTCAAAGGCGATCGTCGTCCGTCGATTGTCCCTCCCAACGCACTGCCGGTGGCGGCGCCGCTGCTGCTGCAGCCGCCGCCGATTACCGAGTCTCGGCTAAGCGCAAGTTGGACGATTACGTGTCTTCAGTCGAAGAGGACGATGAGGACCCGGCCGTCTGGGACCTGGTAAGCGTGAGAATGCGGAAGGACGATTCCCTCTCCGCCGTTAACTCCTCTTCCGACGGTCAGAACCAGGGTCGGTTTTCATCGAGCGGCGGCGGCGGGGTTGGCGGTGAGGATGGGCCCGTCTCTAGCTCGGGGGATGGCGCCGGAGACGTCTCGTCTCTCCCTTCTTGTTCGCGCGCGGCGTCGCCTCCTGCCGTGGGGCTCACTACGTCGGTTACGAGGCTCCAGTTCTTCGTCCGGATGATCTCCAACGGGAATCACATCGTTATCAATGCCAGTTCGGAGGACACCGTGGAAAAGATTCTGTTGAGAATTCAGGTCATCACTGGGATTCCTGCTTCCGAGCAGAGGTTAATTTACAACGGGAAGCAGCTGCAGCCGGAGCAATCACTGGCGGAGTGTGCGATTCAGAAGGATGCCGCACTTCATTTAGTTGGCCGGATGCGGAGTACAAAGCATCCACAGACTTGCCGGGTAGTCGAGGAATTGGTAATGCTTATTTGCAAACTATGTAAAGGCGGGATGCATCCCGCTTATGCGCCTAAGCAGATTACAGATTTGATGACCGAGTTCTTCAAATTGACTGGAAACAGTGAAATTGAGGACGCAGGCGGCCATTTTGAGATTTTCATGTCATACTCTGCTCCAGAAGCATTGGTGATGCTGTATATCTCGACCACCACAGGTAACAAAGAATGTGCTGATAGTTCGATTAAGCACTTCGTAAACTCCTGTAGGGCTTTGCCAAAGTCATTGCATGCGAAGTGTGCACTTGTGATCTTAGAATTTTGCAAGTTGCTTAGGAAGGTTGCTAATGATGATCTTCTGTATGTCTGCTGTCGAAGCATTCTTGGTTCATTCTTGGAAAATGATCTGGGGTGGCGTTGGTCATTGAAGTGTGGGGTAGGTGTGGACGATGTAAAGGCATCTATTACGATATCAGAGATTTTCCCTTTTGTTCAGGAGTTAGCTACTAGGTTGTGCGATGGTCTGGATTCGAATCTGGAAACTCCAGGAAGTTTACGGCCATCAGCTACTGATGTTCGTGACTTCTCTGGATTCTTGTCACCATTACGGACTGCTATAGCAGAGCAGTTAAGAACTGGCCGACTACTATATGCTGAAGAGATTGAGCAGCTTCGTGTTATATATTGGGACTTGTTAAGGAAGATGGATCAGTGCCTTCTTAAGTTGGACTCCTCGACTTCGAAGTCAAGTGGAGAAGGTGAGTTGAATCTTACATCAGGGTCTCAGTATCTTGCCATTTTGAAGGAACTGAATGAAATAAGTAAGCTTTACGAGGGTTCCGAAGAATTCTGGATGATGTTGAAACTTAGAAAGACTTCGATTCGTGGTTTGATCGTTAAATACGCTAAGAGAACTGATGATCATCAATGGCTTCTTCTGCACAAGGATGTAACAGATTTTGAGTCGCGGAGGCATTTGGCTATGATGATGTTACCTGAGGTGAAAGAAGACTATGAGGATCTATACGAGATGCTTATTGACAGGGCACATTTGTTGGAGGAGTCATTTGCATATATAGGCCGTGCTGAACATGAGTCATTGCATGGAGGTTTATTTATGGAATTCAAGAATGAGGAAGCTACTGGTCCTGGTGTACTGCGAGAGTGGTTTCCCTTGGTAGTTCAGGCTTTATTCAACCCACAATATTCTCTTTTCCTGGCATGCCCAAATGATCAAAGAAGGTTCCACCCTAATCCTGGTATGACTCTACTCGTGTTGGAATCTACTGATTCTTATCATGCTGTATCTAATCTGTATGCAATCATGGTGGTGTGTCATATAGTAAAATCTCTTGAAGTCACGCCTTAATTCTCGAACTTTACTTAGTGATACTGATTGGTACAATAGTTTAATCTCAGTTTGTGGTGCACCACCAGATCAATTTAGGAGTAGTCTAATCCCCTCAGCTGTTTGACTTAGGATGCTCGTACCTTCGTCTCTCAGAGAAAATATCATTAGAGCGGTCGGTTGGAGTAGTTATACTGGATAAGTGTCGGGGCCATTCATTTTAATATGATATACTTTCCACATCCATAGTTCATAAAGTCATATGATAATATTCTTTATGATTTTAACCTCATCCAGGTGTCCTTTATTCAGTAATATGGTGTAACCAGTTTGGTATTGGTTGACTTTTGTTTTCTCACCTTACCCCCCCCCCCCCTTTTAAAAAGGCATTGCGTCTATTAACAATATTCCCTCTTTGCTAGACTAGTGGCCAAGATTTTGAGGTTCTATTTTGTTGTTTAATTGTATCATCCATGTTGGGATTTGCAGCATCTAAGGTGGAACCGAGGCATCTCGAGTATTTCACCTTCTCGGGCCGATTAATCGCACTAGCTTTGATGCACAAAGTGCAAGTTGGAATAGTTCTTGATCGCGTCCTTTTCTCGCAATTAGCTGGAGGACACATATATTTGGAAGACATAAGGGATGCAGACCCAATCTTGTACAGTAGTTGCAAGCAAATTCTGGATATGGATGCTGACTTTATTGACTCCGATGCTCTAGGACTGACATTCGTTAGAGAATTCGAGGAGTTGGGGTCCAGGAATTTTGTGGAACTCTGCCCTGGTGGGAAAAATGTCATAGTAAATAGCAAGAACCGAGAAGAATATATCAACCTCCTGATTCACCATCGATTCGTCACATCAATCTCTGAACAGGTCTCGCATTTTGCACAAGGCTTCTCTGATATTCTTTTGAATGGAAGCCTCCCTAGGTTCTTTTTCCAAAGTTTGGAGCTTGGAGATCTTGATGGGATGCTGTATGGGAGTGAAGGTGCCATCTGTGTTGAAGATTGGAAGAAACATACCAACTACAATGGCTTTGAAGAAACAGATCCTCAGATATCCTGGTTCTGGGAGGTATGTTTTTCCCCTTTTGGCTAGTTGGTTTATTTACTATGGCCTATGCCTTTTTACATTGTCGCATAGCATTTTGAATTTGTCTATGCAATTGTGTGGATTTGTTCAGAAGAAATCTTGTATTCTATCAAGAAGCTCTGTGGGGCTTCTTTTCTCTTAAAGTCTGGACAACCATTTGAAGGTGGTTTTTTAATAAGCTTGTCTGTCTTTATTAGCTATATATTGTTAATATCCTGGATTGGCAGTCTGTTTCATGAATGTTAGTGAAGTTTAGTTGACCCTCATTTGCTTCAGAATCAAATGGTCGATGTGCTTTGTCTTCAGGTACATTTTTCTTTTCTTGTAACATGACTGTGTTAGCCTATCGAGTTTTGCTGTCTTTGGTGATCTCGCCTTACATCATAGTGAAGAGAACCTTGAGTTCCTTTTCTCACTCTATTTCCGTACTAGTTTCTGTTTGTTTTTATTTTTTATTTTGGGTGAGAGTGCTGAATATTAGAGTTCGTAAGTGATGTATCGAAGGCTTTTTTTTTTTCTTTTTTGGCTACTGGTTTAGCAATCGACATGGGAACTCGTTCCTGAAATATAGGCTCAACACGTAATCTGTCATTCAATGTGTATTGGTGAATGGCTGCTTGGTGGCAATTTTGAAACGCAGCAGAAAAGAAAAAACTGGTGGTAATGTGCCATCCATGTAACTGTGTGAAAGCTACGAACAAGTAGATGTTAAGTCTGAGTTGGTTCTCAATTGA